CGTTATTATCCGATTCCTGTTCTTCGTCATTTGAGGTCCCACTTTCCTCAGTGTCACCTTCAGACACCTGGCTATTCATCTGCAAAGCACTTGAATAAGTTTCGTCATATTTATCATAACTTTCCAACATACTCAAAATGCTTGATGAAAGTAGTCCAGAAGTTACCATGGAAATGTGGTCAATAGGAGGAGGTGTGTGGGCTAGTGCCATGGGGAGGGTTTCAGAAACTTCATAAACTGTGGTGGTGTAAGGGGCCTCATTGTTCAAAACGAAAATGCTATGACTCGTTGATACTTGTAATTGGTAGCCATACAGCTGTGCATTGTGGTCAGAGAACGAGCCTGGAACAGGAATTCTTCGGAGAGACGTGATCCATTTGCAACGGGTTTCGTCAAGAACAAGCGCAGGCTTGCCTGGTAAGTAGACGAAAACCGTTTCCTCTCGGATGCACATGATATAGGGTCGCGCAAAGTCATCATAACTGATGTCAGGGGGCGGAATATCCCAGCTAGAAAACTGTTTGGTTTTTGCATCAAACATTGCAAATCCGACAGACTTCTTGATGCAAAACTCCTCTGATGGTCCAGTACGATGACGATACCAGAGAAAGATATATTGGTTGCTTTTAACAACAGCTCTTGCCAGGCTAATAATTCTGGAACCAGGAATGTGATAGCAGGTGTAAAGATGTGTTTGAAGATTACACAAGAACAGGTGACCTGTACCTTCCTTATTGCCAATCACAAAACAGTTGTTGTTACAATAAACTATGGCAGGGGGTACAGTTCGATAGTTTGTCAAAGTCGTTCTGTAGCTAGGATTATAATAGTCTACTGTTCTAAAGGAATATAGAGAAGTTTTTTGTGTTTGAAGGTCCACTGCAAGAACGTTTATTTTCAGCATATCAGTTGGATAAGGAAAGCTAGAACACAGATATATATATAAAAAGTTATTGTTTGCAAGCACATTACATAATGTCTGACGCGGAGGAATAAGTTGAAGAAGACGCTCTTTTGCAATAGGCATGAAATACCATTTCTGCTCAGAGATGTTGTAAACCAGTAATTTAAAAAATTTCATCCCTTGATTCCATACCACAGCAAGTAAAACTTGCTGGGCGAGGTCAAAAGCGTGCGAGGAATTTTCTGTGCAAATAGCACTCGCTTCCATTAGTTTATTATTACCTTGAATTTCGTCTATCGATCCGTGATAAGAATGCCACAAACTAGCCATTCCTGTCCGGGCAAGGTCCCGCCCGAGGTAAGAGGCTTCGTTTGTAAAATCACAAACCCAGACTTTTATACACATATTCAGTTCATCGTAAAACTGTTTTCGATTGTCTGAATCATATTCTACCCACCTTTGAATTAATTTCTTCAAATCTTTGTGTCGTGTGTGTTGCACAACGGCGGGATTTTCTAATAAAACCAACAAGCAGGGTACAGAAAGTTCCAAAATATCGTCGTGAAAAATTAAATAGTCATGAAATCGGGCCTCTATAATTTTTTGACAGTATTCCTTTACCTCGTATAGGCAGTGGTCTTCAGCCAGGAACCGAACCCGGAGGCAGTTGTTCAAATCAAGATTGCCGAGGTCCAGGTAGAACTGGCGACAAAAGTCTTTTACGTCGTCCAACAAAAGAAAATCTGCAATGCGGAGAACGTCTTCGACATTTTCCAGGGTTAGTGCAATAGTCCCCGTGTAGATATAGTCGAGGACACTGGCGAAAACTCCGTCATTCTGTAAAGAGAGGGATTCGGAGAGATCCACTTCCCTTGTCGTTTTCTCTTTCATGTCGCAAGTAAACATAGACAAAAAATACGGACTCCATAGAGACAGTATCGCCTTGTGAGAGGCAAATCGCTCTCCCCGAAGTTTTAGGGTAACATCACATAATTCACCAGTTTCCCTCTGCCGCAGCAAAGGCCGGATAATAAATTCATGTATGTTTTTCGAAAAATGTTTTCGAGTTGCCTTCATATAATGAGACATAATCTGTCCCGACCCGACACGATTATTTTTTTTTGTTCTTTTTCTTCTATTGTGCTATACAGATGTGCTGTAGATTACAGGTGTCTGCACGTAGACATATCCTATGTATATATTTTTTAGGGTGAATAGAATTCCAGATCCACCGTAGTCATAAAACCATTTGTTGTCAAACAACATTCAACAAGGAATCCATTTTCTCGTTCATTCATTTTACATCCAGCCAGTTACGGGCCGATATATAATCGCATTCCTCGTAAGTTTCCTATAAATAGTTGACCAACGTATCGTATGTAGCATGCTACACAGGTGCCGGATCATAAAAATACTGCAAATTTTCGCCCCAATCGGGCGTTAAGTAATAATATTACTTTCTTACTGAATGTCATTATTTTCGGATAATAGTGTGTGTGTAATGATAAAACAACCAGTCTGGACGACATCTTTAATGAGCTCCGAGCGGAGAAGAAACACAACTAAGGGCAGATAATTGCAACATATCAGCTGCTTTTTCACAATGGATTTTTATTTTTTTAGATAAGATAACCACAATTTAAAATTTTTATTTTGTTAAAATTAATTACTGTAACGACAAAGATTAAAAAGTAAATTTTAAAAGTGATAAATACAAAAGCTTAAATGATTTATTATCGCAGTTGCTCAAAATAAATATTGCATATATTTTGGAGGACATCCCGTGTGTGTGTGTGTGTGTGTGTGTGTGTGTGTGTGTGTGTGTGTGTGTGTGTGTGTGTGTGTGTGTGTGTGTGTGTGTGTGCGCGCCCCCGCGCGCTTTTTTTAGCTGCTCAAAACAATGTGTGTACTGTACTGTACTAGTGTATATACATTTTTTGATCATTCAGTCTGTGTGTATGCGCACGGGTTTCTCACTCAAAATAAAAAGTTTAAACACTTTTTAGGATATGCGTGTGTGCATGTGTCTTAGTTGGTCCAAAATAAAGTGTGTATACATTTTTTGGGAAATTCAGTGTAAGTATGTGAAGTATGTGGCTGAGTATGTGTGCGCATGTGTCTCTGTTGCTCAAAATAATGTGTACAAATTTTAGGGGGACATCCAATATGTGTGCGCAGAAGAATAGTGTGTGTGTGTGTGTGTGTAGGTCTCAGTTGCTTAAAATAAAACATGGATGCATTTTTATAGCAAATGTGTCTTTGTGTGTGTGTGTGTGTGTGTGTGTGTGTGTGTGTGTGTGTGTGTGTGTGTGTGTGTGAAATATATACATTTACATGTCCGTGTGTGCATGTATATATCTATTTGTGTGTGTGTGTATTTAAATATATGTGGTGCAGATGAAGTAACCCCACCACATTTGAAATCAAAAAATAGAAGAAAAGCAAAATGAGATAAAAAGACATTTTTTTTTTTATTAACAAATCAAACAATAAGAAAAATGGTCTTCAAACTGAGCCACACATAGTGTATTGGGTGTGCACATTTTCTCACAGAAACACTTAAAAACCTTTTTCAGTAGTATACACGCAAGTTATTTCTCTCTTCTATTTTTAGTATTTCATAGATAATAATAATTTATTGATACAAGTTTTAGTAATTAACCCACAGCTAGGGAGAGAAATGGTAGATTCCTACCTTTCCCAAGGATATTTGTGCATAAGTGAATATCACAAACCTGACTGGAATTGGATCTCATTTTCCAATCTCCAATTCTGAGTCATTATCTATTAAACCACCTACACGTCTAAACTTACAACACCTGGTATTCCCAAGTAATCATCCATCTAGGTACTGACTTTGGTGATCATATAAGAACTGGTGTTTGAATTTGATATCGCCATAAGCCATCAGGTATCCACTGTTTTACTGATTCATGTTCATGCCTGCTGAACCAGTGCTATATGAACCAGGAATTGAAAACATGATCACTAGATGATGGTATTGTGGGAAATGAAATAAAATAGATAAATAAAATAATAATAAGGAACAATAAAAATAAAAAAAAGAAATACATTTTTCCCATGATGCTAAGAGTAAAGGAACCAGAAATATGCTTACTTCCACTTGATGTTGTCAAATACTGTTAGGTGGCATTTGTTGAGTTATAAAAATTATCTCACTTGTTAGCTATTTTGGCATAAAATAATCAGCAGGGTACAATCAGAAGTCCCTGACTTGACTGAGCACTATTTGGCCTCTTTCTCACTATTCATTTTTAGCAGCCTCTAACTTCAAGTCCAGCTCAAAGAGCTATACACAACTCTTGCTGCAGAAGACGAGGCCTGTCCTGGCAGCTTGACTTCAGATTTCTTGTTCCTCCTGTGTGAACAGGTGGAGAAATTTTCCTTTGAGACACCTGTAATATCCCAGCAACAGAAGGGAGATAACCCCTAGAGACACAAGAGTTAGGTCCCCTCCGGACATCCGGAATCTTAATCAGCAGCTTGGCAGTAAAAGGGGAATAGGAGGCCACCATGACCCGAGGGCCAATCAACAACCATCCTAACATCCTATCAACGCATTAATCGATGCCTAGCAAGCATCAATAGCATCTTGCGCAGAACATTACATTGGCGACGAGGACTGAGTCGTTACCCTCACAAAAACAGAACATCAACACACTTAAAAAAAAAAAAAAAAAAATTCAACACGTGTTCGATATATAACCAATATGGCCACCATACCACACTACCCCGAATTTGATTGTGAGTCAACAGCCAAAACAGCAAGATGGACAAAATACGTAAAAAGACTGAAAAACTATTTTGTCGCACATAACATTGAGGATGACAAACGGCAAAAAGCAATCCTACTAACGTTTGTCGGCAAGGCTACGAATGACATCATCGACGAAATACCACAGGAGCAAGTCACACCAGAAAAAATGAAACACATTTTGACAAGCTTGTCTCAGCGGTGCACAACCACTTCAACCCGGAAAACGACACGGAATACAACCGATTCGTGTTCCGAAAAATTAAACAAAATAGCCCAGGCATCGAAGACTTCTACCGCAAACTAAAGGAAGCTGCGGCTATGTGCCGTTTTTCCGACATGGATTCTGAGGTGAAGTCCCAATTAATTACAGGCTGCCTGTCGGAAAAAGTCCGCCAGAAGGGACTCATGAACTCAGATATGTCACTACATGACTTAATAAACTACGCAAGGACAACGGAGACGATAGCGTCGCACCTACAAACAATGCGACTGGAAGACAACAACATTGCTACTGCTACAACCGCCCCAATAAACAAAGTCGCAGACGAACAGCGCCAACCAAGCAACTATCCCCAGCAATACCAGTGCAGGAACTGCAACGGAAAATACCCTCATGAGCGGGGACCAACGTCTTGCCCTGCATTTCATACCCAGTGCACATACTGCGGAAGGTGGGGACACTTCACCTCTGTCTGTTTCAGAAGATTAAACGACGGAAACAGACAACGGGAAACAAATCATCCCCCACGAACACAGACCAATCGACGCTCAGTGAACCGCATTGAAAACGACCAACGGAACCCACATAGCAGTGGTAATGATACAGAATACGTGTTCCACACAGCTGGAGCTCGGAACTTGCCACCTCCAATTGAAATGGATACTCCAGCAAACAGGAGTTCATCTTTATTTTTGGGGCTTCCCAACCAAATAAAAGGGCAACTTGATGAACAATCACAAACTCTTCACAAAATCAATTCCACAGTCCAGAAACTTGAAGCTGAAAACGCTCTTTATAAACAAGAATTGATGACCGCCCACACCAATATTCACCAGTTATCATCTCTTTTGAATAACGAACGACGAAAATACCATTTGTCTTTGGAGAGACACTTCATCCAAATGCAAGAAATGCTGTGCACAGAAATGAAGAGAATGTCACATGAAATAAATGAATTGAAGCTTAAATGTTGTCAACAGAATTTTCCTGCCACTCCTTCATCAACTTATCCTCAAACTGCTTCTAGCAGTTTCCAACAGTAAGAGACTTCTGCAGCAAGGGTTGTGCTGCAGAAGTCTCTTACCAGTCCTAGCAGTTCACACTCAGATTTCTTGTTCATCCCATGGGAAAAAGCAGAGGAAACTTTCTCTACAAAACATCTACTCAAGAATTTTGTTAACTGGGAAACCCCACTTTTTCTCCTGCAAAATATTACTATTTTGCACTCTCTTTCAACCAGAAATAAAAGCTGTTGAATGGTTATTTGAGCTTCTGGGTTTTGTTCATTCCCCTCTCACTGCCAAGCATGCACACACACACATACACACATATCAACCAGGAGAAATACCTATAAAGTCTAAAAAAAGACAAATATTTTCCTGCCTCATTCTATTTTCTCCTTTTTGCTCCAAGATGTAGAACCATGTTTTAATTGCATTTTCACTGAGGAATGTTAATTTCCCCAGCCCATTGATGACTGAACTTTCTTACTACTTTCCAATGCATGGTGCTCCAATGTGTCTTCCAAAACCTCAATCTATGAAGCAAGTCAAGCCTTCTCTTTGGTTGTTCCAACTTAGCACAAGGCTGACTTGAGTACAACCATTGTAACAATGCTTATACTGACTTAACCCAAATTCTGGACAAAAAACAAATAAAAGGGACATCCCATAACCATGTTTAAATCTCTCAGTGAGAAAGTAAGTACAAATCTTCCTTTTGTGGTTCCAACTCTACACAAGGCTGACTTGAGCTCAACCATGATTGCAATGCTTATAATTTACTACACTAACTTCTGGAGGAAGAAACAGAAAACAGACATGCCAAAGAGACATTAAAATCTTTGTTTCACCTATAGTCACCGTAAAAAGAGAATAGACAGCCTGTAGTAACTCATATTTTTGTATGCTACTTAAGTGTTTACATATGAACATGCACCCACATAGAATACACACAAACAGATGCAACTTTGTTAACTTTAATAGTAACACATATATAACCAACTTCCATATCCAATATGTTATTATCCAGAACGACATTGATGGTGTATTTTGGACCCTTTGTATTCAGAAAAGATGTTCTTCTGTTGACAAATATAAATTTTACTTATTGTTTGATCTGTTAATAAAAAATATCTTTATATATCATTTTGCTTTTCTTTTCCCAGCTATGGATTAAATCGGTAGTTCTCAACCGGGGTCCATGTAAATTTACTGTAGTTCTACACAAAAAAATAGCAAATTGGATGGGTCCCTGGTAATATTTTAGTGGTCCATAGAGCAATTTCACTTCGGAACGGTTGTTGAAACTAAGAATTGGAATTTCTACAGTAATCTATGGCATATTAAAACATGAAAAATAGAAGAGCAACTCTAAAACTATCATAAAATGAGATCAAGCTAATGTTAGTTAGCATTCCTTTTACTTTACTGGATGTTTAGATTATAAAAGTTGAATAAAAAATGAGAAGTATATATAAAGGCAAGATTTTATATATATATATATATATATATATATATATATATATATATATATATATATATATATAGATAGATAATATTAGTGGTTAATATATACATACATATATATACATATATCTAAAATATATAAATATATATACATACATACATACACATACATATACAGTGTAACCCGTATATAAGAGAGTTGTCAGGACCGGAGAAGAAGTCTCTTATATCCGGGTTTCTCTTATATCCGGGTCTCTTATATCCAAGTCTAATTTATATACATTAACACAGGCTCTAATTTGGGACCAGAGAAAATCTCTCTTATATCTGGGTTTCTCTTATATCCGGGTTACACTATATATATATATATATATATAAAATAATTCCAAGAGGATAGAATCCAGGTAGAACTCAATGTCCAGGACAGAGTAAGGATGTAATAAAAAGGCTTAAACACTAGTACTCCATGGTTATAATTTATTACATTGGAATTGTAAATACAATCCAATTCATCAGACCTACAAATTCAAAAAGAAATCAGAAAAAATAACTCCGGGAATAAAAAAAAAAAAAATTTACTGAGAGTGTATGTATGAGGGTATGGGATGAATGCGAGAGGAAAGCAGTGAAGAAGACCAGACGAGATAAGATCAGGAATGAGGCAATAAGAGATATGATAGGAGCAATACCAAACATACAACACGTCGAATGACAAAGGATCAAGTGGTTCGGACACCTCACTCATATGCCTATCAACCAACCTATGAGTATACACCATCAGGTACTCTGGTTGGAGAGCGAAAGGCAGGCCAAGAAGATGCTGGAGTGACTCAGTGGTAGATACTCTTAGTGCCCACAAGATATCTTTCCTCCAGGCCACTTGCCTTGCCACTGACAGATGACTGTGCCTCCCTGCAACACCTAACAGCATAAGCAGAAGGAAAAACTAAAACTAAAACTAAAACTAAACATATATGGGAAAAGAGAGTGGACATCCTTTCTTCTTCCATGCCTTCTCAGGAAAAATAAATTCTTTTATATTTATAAAAGCAACTAATCTGTAATTTCATATATAATCCAATAATCCTCTACTATCCTAAGTAGGTTTATAAATGAGAGATTTTTTTAATCCCATGACCCCTAGAGTCATAGAGGCACCATGTGTAATGCAGACACAGTAGATGTGGTGTTTCTTGGGCAAGATAGCCTGACAGAGCCAATTTTGATTTTAGATTTTTTCCTTCTCCTAGACTGGTTGTCCACCCAAGGCTATATATAACCAGTCTGTCCTATTTACCCATTGCTAGGTGGAGAAGAAGAGGATTCATACCTTTCCCAAGGCAATGCATGTAAGTGAATGTAATGGATCCAACTAGAATTTGAACTCAGCTCTCCAATTCCTCAATCTGAGCTGCTATCAATTACTTGACCATGCCCCCCTCAAGCAAGATTATATATTATTACTGATATCAATACACACCTTTATTTTATCTGGATTATGAAGGTAATAATTTTTCTGTAGTGTTTTTGAAAAAAAAAACATTCAAAATCTGAATAATTTAAGATTTGGGAACAAAAAAAAAATTAGACAGATTCAAATTATCGCCGGCATATGATCAAAACCTATTCTACTAATCAAAACCTATTCTACTAATTAACCAATTTAAAAAAAATAAAAATCTCTTTTTATTGAAAATTATTAAGATACAATATCCCTACTGTGTGACTGCCAATGTAATTTATGGAGCAAGATAAATGTTTACACAGCATTTAAAACATATCTTGAATTATTAATCTGAAAAGTTTCAGCTTTTAAGTGTGTATAGTTACAATTAGTAATGTTATAGTTTTTAAGAAACACACATTCATTGTCCTGGGTATGACGATAAACTAGATCTGTGTCCTGGGTAAGACGATAAACTACATCCAATAGCAAGGCCTCTGATCATCAGTTTTTGAGGAACGTGGAACCACCTCTTAATTGCTGGCATTCCCAGGTCCACTCTGACCCAGGGTGGTAGCACCTGTTAGGATCCCAGCTATGGGCAAATAGTTGACACCCAAACTTGTGTAAAAATAGGTTTTAATACCAGAAATACTTTGTAATAAAAAAAAATATTACCAGCAATAATTTTTGAAGGAAAAATTATTATCAGCAATACTTTCCAAAAAAAAAAAGTACTAGCAATACAAACAACTATATATTCTTTGGAAAAAATATGACCAGCTATAGATTTCTTCAAGGCAAAATATTCCCAGAAATAGATTTTTGAAGAAAAACATATTACCAGCAATAAAAATTGTTGACATTAAATAACCCATTGAGGTTGATATGCTGTAAAACAAAACAGAGCAAACCAAACCAACAATAAAAATCTTGTTGGCATTAAATAACCCATTGAGGTTGATATGCCGTAAAAAAAAAAAAAACAAACCAAACCAGCAATAAAAATTCTGTCGGTATTAAATAACCCATTGAGGTTGATATGCTGTAAAAAAAAAAAAAACAAACCAAACCAAACCAGCAATAAAAATTCTGTCGGTATTAAATAACTCATTGAGGTTGATATGCTGTAAAAAAAAAACAAAAAAACAAACCAAACCAGCAATAAAAATTCTGTCGGTATTAAATAACTCATTGAGGTTGATATGCTGTAAAAAAAAAAAAAACAAACCAAACCAAACCAGCAATAAAAATTCTGTCGGCATTAAATAACCCATTGAGGTTGATATGCCATAAAACAAACCAAAGCAAACCAATCTCTGCTCCTAAATGGAGCCCCAAAAGGGTTGTGTGAATCGGGTTTTAGGTTACCAGTTTATTACGGGAGTCATCCGTTTGTAGCAGCATCACCTCTTTTGTTGAAGAGGAATATTTTCTTGTGTTGGGAGAGGAGACAGTGACGAATCTACTTAAAACACACATTCAAACTGAGCCAAACGTTTTCTGTTAAATATTTTGTTTATTTTATGTTTACTACTACATCCGAATACAACATATTAATAAAGGACAATGTGTCAAGTAACCAATCTGCATGATAGTAACAGTCAGAGTTGAAATAGTAAAAGGAGTCATTAAGTAGTTTCCATGTCTATTTCTTGTCCTTATGAAAACTGTCTTCATAGGATGAAACTGGACTCAAAAAAGGAAAACACTTCTTTTAATTAAAAGAAAAAACTTGTAATTCCAACGAATGATTTATTTTACTATGGAAATATTTCAACTAGCATTTGCCAGTATTGGTCACTCTTTAATTTGAGTTAAAAAGTACATAGAAGTTCTAAATGCTTAAGAATTTAAATCAAGGATAAACAAACCGAGTTGATGATGTTTACAACATAATAGCAAGTCAAAGCATTAAAAAAAAGAAAAAAAATTTTTTTTTTCTTCTATATTATACTTTACTTTTTACTGAACAAATTGTAATAGCAACTCCAAAAATACCTG